GAAAATGTGAGGAATCCCATAAGCATAGTAGTCACTGGAGTATTTTACTTCCCAGAGTGAATGTGGCAATACCCCATAAAAAGAAGAATGCAATCATGGGTTTTTTTTTCAGTTTTATTGAGATATTATTGACATACAACATGTAACTTTAAGGTGTACAGTATGATAATTTGATACCCATATCTATTGCAAAATGATTACCATAGTAAGGTTAGTTAATAGGTTCAACTCCTCACATAGTTAGCATTTTTGGTGTGTGTCGTGATAACATTTAAAATCTCTAAACATGCTTTGATATCCTTCTCTTTACCTTTTGTATATGTACTGTAAATTCGACCTATGTGGTTACTGTGAGTCTTACATAAAAGGTCTTTAAGATATAACAATGTTTTTTCAGCTGATTACTTAACTTTGATCACATGCAAAAACTCTATCCTGTTAATTTCTCCTCTCCATATTTTATGTTTTTGATGTTAACACTTCACCTCTTTTATATCATATGTCCATTACCAAATTATTGTAGCTATAGCTCTTTTAATACTTTTGTCCTATAAACCTTTATAATAGAGTTAAATAATTAACAGACCTCCGTATTACAGTACTACAGTGTTCCGAATTTGACTGTATACTTTACCAACATGTTATGTATTTTCTCATGTTACTAATTAGTTACTAATTAGTAGCAAATGACCTCCTTATTAATCACTGATTCTCTGCTTAATCAAGTCTGCTGTTGAAGCTTCTTACTGTAGTCTGCAGAAATCTTAGATTTGAAGACTAGATTCCATAATTTTACTGATTTTTGTCTGATTATTTTGTTGCACTAAAGGTGGTTAAAATCTCCCTTTGTGTTATTATAGTTTTCCCTATTTGTACCTGCGTATCTGCTAACATTTGCTTTAGTCTCTTTTGAGCCCATGATATGAAATATATATATATTTCATTATATATATATGAGATTGTTATGTTTTTCTGGTGAATCAAATCTTAATTTCGTCTAGTAATACTCTTTTTTTCCTTAAGATTTTTTTTTTTTTGATCTAGCATGAGACCGTGCAGCCATTTTTTCCCTTGGTTAGTGGGTTTGCATGGTCCATTTTTTTCAGTCCATCTGCTGTCAACCTTTCAGTAAGTTGATACTTGAAATGTTTGTTTTATGGGTTTCTTTTTTAAATGCTCTCTGGCAATTATTATTTTCATATGGAGCATTTAGATCACTTTATCATTTAGTGTAATTCCTGATACTTAATATTTGGTTTTAAAGTCA